TGTCTCAGCCCACGCGAAGATCCTCATCCGGCTGTGTCTCAGGCAGAATCAGGTTGATGACGGTGACCAACGCAGCGAAGAAACCCAAGACCAGAGGGAAGTTGTAGAGCGGGCACACCAAGAAGAGCGGGTCGCACAATGGGTAGATCAAGTAGATCAGGGGCTTGGTGCACAGGTCACTGCCGGTAAGCGGACCCTTCAATGCCTCCGCTGGCATGGTTCCTGCCATGAAGGCCAATGCACCCAGCGCAGCAGGAGCAGCAGCTTCCAAGCCCCTGTTGTTCTGCTTGGGCTGCAGGAAGGCAGGCGACAACAGCTGCCAGCACATCAGTAGTGCGGCAGCGCCCAAGAATAGGCTCAAGACCAAGCTGCGTCCACGACGAGCCATGCTTCAACTAGGACACTCAGACTCCTTTGGTATTGGTATAAACGACAAAAAAACCTCTGGAGCCAAATTTGCAATTTAGATGCCCAGGTCTTGCCATGAAGGCCATCATGAAAATAGTTTACCCCGGCAGAAACAAAAACACAAAACAAACATCGTGTGGGCTTTACTCTCTGAACATGCTGGTGGTATCTTGTGGGTTCCTTCTTTTGACCCACATCCTTACTGTGGGCACCAAATGCACATTGTTCAACAACTTGGCTTCTTGTCTTCTGTCACAACAACATAATGAGCAAATTAACCGAAAAGACACATCAACCAAGAAGCCTCGGGGTTCTGACCAACACGATTTTTATTGTTGTTGATGTTATTTTTTCCAGCGGCGCAGGCCACACATCTAGCGAGTCATCCAACTATCTAACCAACGCGAAGATCCTCATCCGGCTGTGTCTCAGGCAGAATCAGGTTGATGACGGTGACCAACGCAGCGAAGAAACCCAAGACCAGAGGGAAGTTGTAGAGCGGGCACACCAAGAAGAGCGGGTCGCACAATGGGTAGATCAAGTAGATCAGGGGCTTGGTGCACAGGTCACTGCCGGTAAGCGGACCCTTCAATGCCTCCGCTGGCATGGTTCCTGCCATGGAGGCCAATGCACCCAGCGCAGCAGGAGCAGCAGCTTCCAAGCCCCTGTTGTTCTGCTTGGGCTGCAGGAAGGCAGGCGACACCAGCTGCCAGCACATCAGGAGTGCGGCAGCGCCCAGGCATAGGCTCAAAACCAAGCTGCGTCCACGACGAGCCATGGTGCAAAGTTGGAAAATGTGATCCTGAAAAATACACTGAGCCAGCTGTTTCAATCTTTTGCAATGCGCACAATCGGAAGGATCAAACAAAACATGTTCGCAAGGTGGAACTATTGAGTGTGGACAGCTAAATTTCCTGAAACATAAAGAGCATTGATCTTGCAACGAACTCCGTAAGTTGTCGTTCTCCAGATCGAGCATTGTTTCAAGGCTAAGCAAGCACATACATACTACACACAATGGCGTTAAAACCACCTCAAAAGAGTTCAAGATGGTATTTATGCAACATATTTATATATATTTATATATATATACACGAACATAATGCTTCTGCGTCGTGCCATACAAGTTCTTCTCCTTCTCACCAGTCCAATGAATCTGGGTCCAACATGATAACATGACCTCTGGCAAGCTGATCGGTCTATTTTCAGTGCACTTCTGCTCCCACTGCAGGTGGAAAGGAAAACCTGGCTTCAGCGAGCCTAAGTCTATATCGAACAGAGACGCTGTCTCAGCCCACGCGAAGATCCTCATCTGGCTGCGTCTCAGGCAGAATCAGGTTAATGACCGTGACCAATGCAGCGAAGAAGCCCAAGACCAGAGGGAAGTTGTAGAGCGGGCACACCAAGAAGAGCGGGTCGCACAATGGGTAGATCAAGTAGATCAGGGGCTTGGTGCACAGGTCACTGCCGGTAAGCGGACCCTTCAATGCCTCCGCTGGCATGGTTCCTGCCATGGAGGCCAATGCACCCAGCGCAGCAGGAGCAGCAGCTTCCAAGCCCCTGTTGTTCTGCTTGGGCTGCAGGAAGGCAGGCGACACCAGCTGCCAGCACATCAGGAGTGCGGCAGCGCCCAGGCATAGGCTCAAAACCAAGCTGCGGCCTGGTGCGATTGGCATCGGGCAACCTTTATTAACGGAATGGTTAGGGTTGCGTTCCTACTTACCATTGCTCTTGCAAACATGTCTAGTCAAAATGTGCAGTGGTTTCGGAGTAATGACGCAAGCCCAAAGCAACTGAACTTTGAGTGTTCGATCTGTTGATGCCGTTCAGCCCCTTCCTAAAAAATACTGGAGACCCGCCCTGACTAGGTTCTAGTGAAGGCTGAAGGCTGAAGGCTGAGTGAACCCTTTCTTTGTCGCAGGATTTCTGACGGAGGAAGCCCTCTTGCCCAAAAGAAGAAGCCATCACCCAAGCCATGTGGTTCATCCAACAAAGCCATATTCATCACAACTTACGCCCCAGATGTTCGGCATTGAAAGAAAACGGACAATTTGGTTGCTCTAGAAAACCACTGAAGTTCAGGAATTCGATCATTGATCAAACACGGGTAGTGTGTTCTACAACACGGGTGGTGGACTAAACAATTGGCATACAATACAGGTCTCGGTCCATTTAATATCTATATGCTGTACCTCTGTGATATCTATATGCTGTACCTTTGTGTTGCTGGTACAGCATACATATGTTGTAGGCCCAGTTATAATCACTTATAATATATATAATATAAGTTATATACGATTGAAACAAAAAGCAGCCTCCAAGGCGAACAAAGCTGAACACCTTCCCTGGCTTCTCTCAACCTGGTACTCCACGTCCCGATTCCCGGCCCTCCTCGACGTGCCATGGAGCCTAAGAGGGAGCCTATTCACGTCTATCGATCCCGTGCAACCGGCGCTCTGAGCCCCAAAAACCACATCCAAGAAGCAGCATGAAGCAGCATGCAAGTCATCCTGATCTACGGATTTGTTAAGAAAAAACAACGAAAACAAAACCGTCGTTTCACCAAACGTGGTCAGGCCGCGTACATCACACGTCGAGCCTTCACAGCAAAGAACTTTGATGAACAGTTGCGCCCCGGACCAATCCTCTTTTGCTGTGCATGAATTTGGTTTTTGCATCGCCATGTGGACGATGGGCTGCTGATTCTTTGGCTGAGTGTCTTGGACTGAGGTTTCTTGGTTAGGCAGCTATTCCAAACATCGCGTACTTACTTACTTACTTACTTACTTACTAGCAAAGAACTCTGCAACGGACCAAGCAAGCAAGTGGACAGCTGTAAAAGACTCTCGGTAGGAAGCAAACCACTTATTTCGGAGGGGAATCACACCTAGTACATCCCAATTTCATGAGAAACACATGAACTGCACGACTCACAGGTTCACCCATGAGTCTCATCACTCAAGACAACCATTTTTCTCTAGCTCGCTACGATCGCCAGGGCGTCTGCCGGAGCATCCGCCACGGACGCAGGATCATTCCATTGGTCGCCTCACGTGCGTGGGTGCCCGAGCCGCACGCGGGCCCTGGTTCTCGGGTTCACTGCAGGTCACTCATATGCTTACAATGAGTCTACGGCGAAAGAGTTCCAGCACTGGTATTTAGCTCCACAAGTTTGGGCGCAAAAGCCAAGGTAAAGAAGTAAAGAAGCAATTAATTGTTGCGTGTTTCACAACACCACTGTATTGACAGCGGGCGCGATGCACATGTCCATGGACCTGTAAAGAAGACAGGTAAACGGTAAACCCCAAAACAGGCAGTCTCCAAATGACACGGATGTTTCATCAGGAACAAACCACCCTGGCACACTATAAGTCAAACGTGCCTTTCCCAACAATACCCTGGCTGTCTTTTCCAAGGTCCAAGTTCGAACGGCGCTGCCATGGCGACATTCCCCAGCGCAAGGCACGCACTCTGGATCAGACCTCTAAGACCTACTAGGATCTACTAGGAACAAGGGCATCGCTACGAGCAAGGACGCTACTAGTAGCTCCTGCCCATACTACTAGTAACAAGGGCTTCGCTAAGTATTAAAAATAGGGAGACCTCCCTGTTAGACCGAAGAAGGGAAATAGATCAGTCTACCGAGCCAGGGGGTGAGGGTGTCTCCCTACTTCAAATTCACACCGCTCCTGCACGTGCGCGCGCAGATTGCGCGCAAAGGGCGCGTCGCCTGAAGGCTCCAGCGTCGCCTGGGGCGCCTGAAACGCGGCGATGCGGATAGGTCAGGATTGCTAGGACCGCGTTGCTAGCCTTTTTGCCTACGTCTCAATCTCTATAGATCTCTATAGTGTAGAGAGATCCCCCTGAAAGAGCGGGTTCCGCCAGAAGAGGCTCAAAACATGCTGAAACCTTTATTGAATTGGGCGTTTCAACATACTGTAACTATGACGAGTCCTCCATACAGGTGCCCTAAGTCGATATCTTCACCCTCTCCTATTAAGTGCGGGGCTACTGATTGTTCTATCAAAGGATCAAATGAAGGATGCCACCTGGCTGCCTGGTCCCTGGGGCGGAAAAATTGCATTTCAAGAGGCTCCAATACAGATCTGGAAGCTTTAGAGTCATCAAAACTGCTCTGACAAGCAGCATCTGTCTACTGAAACAGCATACATTCATTCTTGAATATTTCAAATAGTAGTACATATGTTACATACTGTATATTTATACATCTTTTCAGACTCTGTTTAATTCGTCTGTCATCACAATGGCATGGCCCGACCGGCTAGGTATATTCGTGTCCCAGGCCCCTGCCGGCCTCAGGTAGATCCAACTGCATCTGCCCTGAAGCGAAGAGCATCTCCAAATCATTCACCCGCAAGACGCCCTGGCTCTATCACAGCCGGGGCGCACGCAGCGAGTGACCACTTGGTCATGTGCAGGCCGCAGGACGACTGGATCATCCTGGTGTTCCAAGGAGATCTTTTTGGTGAACACTTAAGCGCTGTAGTCACTGAAGTCGGGAACAACAATCTGCTTCAGATCAAAATGCTGTATTTGTTGACAACGCCTAAACGCAACGCCTCCTTCAAGCGCACGCTCCAACGCTTGGGGTTCTTCCGGACACGGGCCACCTGTGGAAGAGTTCAGCCACGAAGGGATAGGAAGGGAAGGCGGCATGGCATGGGTGGTTGGCCAAAGATCCACTGGGGTGTCTTGGATGTGTTGGAAGAACCTTTCAACATCTGAGCTCTATCTCCCTCGCAGGCCCCTTCGCTTGAGTCCCCTGTTGGGGCGGGTTCAAATTGGACTGTCATGGTTGCATTAGCAGCAAAATTGACAAAGACCTTGTCATGGAGTAGTAGTAGTAGCAGCAGCAGCAGTAGTGGTAGGAGTAGTAGTAGTAGTAGCAGCAGCAGCAGCAGCAGTAGTAGCAGGAGTACTAGTAGTAGTAGCAGTAGTAGTAATAGTAGTAGTAGTAGTAGTATCATATAATATCCGTCCCTCATAAAACTACAGTACATCGTTTGCTTCAAGAGTCAAGCCAAGTGTTTTAGCAAGGTAGATTGGACTCCACAGATCGTTTTTTGTTGTTGTATATTTATCAAAACGGACATGCATCTGATGAAAAGCTCGCACAACTGGCAAACCTCCACACCAACCATACCAGTTTAACACAATAGCCTAGCTTGGCAGCTTGCCTCTCATTGATGGTCAAAATGACAAAAAACAAAAACATATATATGATCTCCCGCTTCCGCAGGACTTCAACGAAACTTTCGGGAGGATGTCACTATGTTCATCCATGTTCAACATAGATAAATATGAAAAACAACATGTAGTATCACTCTTGTGTTTTTCTATTTATATATGATACTGTATTTTCTTAATTCTGATAACTTCTTTTTTTCAGACTCCGGAGGATGTCACAAAAACAAATAACAAAACAAACTGGTTGCTTTATGTTCTGTCAATATGTTTGTCACATATTTGTCACTATGTGCTCTTGTTTTTTCCTCTACATTTATCATGCATGTCGTCTGATGCCGGTAATTAGGGACATCATCTCCAATCCAGCCCCAAAGGGCGCCTAACTCTGAAGGCTTGTGCCGTCGGCGGCAGCTGGACCCGCCTTCGTGAAGATCAACGCGTCCGGAACAAAGAGCTCCTCCACATCATCCAGGTCCGAGCCCAGCTCCGAGCCCGAACCATCTGGTGACGGCACAGAGGGAGCATGTTTGTTTCAGAAGACGGTTGTGACTTTAGAGTACACAAAGCCCAATGTCTTTGTTGAATAACCTGTCTTTTGTTGGTTTTAATAACCCTTCAATTGTGGGATTGGGTCCCGTGGTACACATGTCTTGCCATGTCTTGCCCTCTCCTAGCTGGACTTGGCTGAGGGCCTCAGATGGAGTTTTTGGTGGGTTCACCCTTCCAAAACTCACCACCTCTACCTGGTGATACTGGGAAGGCTCCAGTTCTTTGTTGCAAAGTGGTGGAGTTGCACATGACTAGCCGGGAAACCACGTTATGCTTGCTGTTACGCACACATGTAATCATGTGGTAAAAGGAAACACGACCAACTGACCAATTGCATGAGATATGTTGACTTGTGGACATACAAGTCTTCTGTGCTGCGCTTAAGTGGACAGACGTGCATCTCATATAACGGACCATTGGGAGGCAATTGAGCGATGGATAGATATGATGGACGAATATGGTAGTTGTAGTGGTACAAAAGGTGGACGCCAGCACTGTAGCTTGCAAAGCTTGTTTTATACCGTGTTCAAAACATGAGCATAATTGCTAGGAAACTCTTTTTGTCTCGGACTCATGTCTTCTCTAAAGCATCAATGGTAGGTGGATGGATGGTATAATGATATATAAATAATGGATATGGAACTGGATATGGACATTGTGAGGTTTGCAAATCGGTGATTTACATCACCACCTGATTCTATGAATTCGCTCAAGCCCATGCTCGCCTGCCCGCTGCACCACCTCTCACATTCCGCGAAACGTTGGATTGCGGGGAACATGAACGTATTTGAACAGTTTTTTTGGTACGATGTGCCTTGAACATACTTGAAAAGGAGAGTATTTGTCTAAGCTGCGCAGTGCAGTGATTCTTCGTCTCACGTCTCACACGTATGTTTATCCTCGCCGCCACCGATCGATGTTGGGCACACTGATCGATGGACATTGTGAGGTTTAATCCCCTCTCCCTAATAATAAACGCCCCCCCCCCCTATTAATAAAAACCCTGGGGTGTTTTTACTAATAGGGGGTGTTTATTATTGAGGGGCACCTGTTGTACCCCCAAATGGGCAATGTTCTGTTCGCCCTAATAAAAAGTAGGGTCTCGAAAGAAAATCCCTGGGTTCCCAATCTAATTAATTATATAAAATCCTTGTTAAAACGACCATCAAAAAAA